AACTCATGTTTTCCTTTAATAAATTGTTGCCTTAAAACAACAAAAAGAAAGAGAGAGAGAGAAAATACCCGCAGTCATGGACGACAGAATATCCGAATTGTCAATACCTATACGGCACCACATTCTCTGTTTCCTCTCCCAAGAAGAAGCAGTAAGAACATGTCTCCTCTCCAAACAATGGCGCCACATACGATCAACCCGCCCCAACCTCGACTTCTCCGAGAAATGGTTCGACAACGCACAAGAAAAGTTTGTCTCCGTCATCAACCAAACCCTACAAGGATACCGTGGTCAGAACCTCTCCATACACAAACTCCATCTTAACTTTTCAAGGCCCGCCTCAAGACCGGTCATCTCCCTTCTCGACAAATGGATCTCGATAATAGCCGCCCTCAACATAAAAGCGTTCAAACTCAGTTTTCATTCATATAATCCGGCATATTATGACCTGCGCTCAGCAGTGTTCTTAGCCGAGTCCCTCGAAGAACTACACCTGAGCAAATGCAGACTGAGCCCGGTTGAGAGCTTGCACGCTCACCCTCGAGGAGGTCCAAGTTGATAGTGGGACATTCGAGAAGATAACTTTGGGTTGCCCTTTGCTCAGGCGCCTCGTCCTTACTAATTGTTGGGGGTTGAGAAACGTGACGCTGAGCGAGATGGCATCGGCTGGGCTCAAGCACTTTGCATTGTGGGATTCCGCGAGTATTAAAGGGCGTAGAATCGAAATCGATGTCCCGAATATCGAGACAGACTCCATCCGGGGCGCATGGATTTGGTGTCACCGCCAAAGCGCATTATTGTTCTCTCGTCTCACGAGTTTGAGTCTCTATTATGTGATCCTATCGAGCGAGTCGTTCGACCTGTTATCGTTCGGCTGCCTGACTCTTGCGAGCTTGGCCCTACGTAATTGCTCCGGTTTTGAGGAACTCCATCTTGCAAGTGATTCGGTCAAGTTCTTGAGCATCTGGACCGAACAAATATTGCTTAAAGGAGTTACGATTTGTGCCCCCAACATTGTCAGATTCCATTTCACTGCCCTTATTCCCCAGGTGCCTGACACATTCTCTTTCACTACCACTACTTCCAAGGAGTGGTACTCAAAAGTAATCCTCTGTTCGTATGTGGCTGATCCCAATTTCGACGTCAATTTTTGGTTCCTTAAGCTGAGACGATTGCTCAAGGCACTAAGTGGGTCTCGAATTTCTCTGATTCTGCATACGGACGACGGCCCTCAAGACGTGCCCTGCAGTGCTGTTGTCGGTGACGAGCCGCCTGTGGTGTTGCGGGACTTGAATTTTGGTACATGGAAAAGTCGCACGGCATCTTGGTACTTGGGGTTTACGAATGGCTTGTTTCCTGTTTGTCGACCGAGTCTCGTATGGGGTTGTAGGCTCGTGAGCGAGTTGAACGGCTACTACAGGCTGTCGGAGTTTCAGTTAAACATCTTGCTTGCTAACAAGAGCCTCGTGACCGAGCCCTACTTTTGGCAGCACGATTTGGAGCAAGTGCACGTCAATGGACAGCTCGTGCAGTACACAGACTAGAAAAGATGTTGATGGAAAAATGAAAGTTGAATTTTTTTGTCTTAATTTATCACTTATAGAAAAGAAGTTCAAATTTAAAATATATGTTCAATTTTCAAACCAGTCATTTTTTTATTTTTTTTTTGTGTGTGTTATTGTGGTATCAATTGCATTCCATATTTTACAGGTTAGATTTATTATATATCAATTTTAAAATCCGTTTCTAAGTATCAAAGATATATTTTATATCATAATGCTAATTAAGTAAATTATTATATATCAGTTTTAAAATCCGTGTTCTAAAGTATCAAAGATCCGGTTTATCATAATGCTAATTAAGAAAATCAAATCAGAATATTTCTATTGTGTTATTAATGCAATTTTTTTTTTTTTTTAATTGTGACTTAAAAAGGTTGCTATAAAAGATATTTTCATATCATTATGATAATTATGTAAATCAAATCAGAATATTGTCCTTTTTTTATTAATGTTATACCAAAATTATTTTCTAAAAATGTGTGAATCTGTTGATAAAAACTTTTGTTTAAAACTCATATTTAAGAATCCTAAAACTATAAGGTATCAATAAAGAAAATGTGAAAATAACATTGTTTACATATCTATCAATTTTTATTTTTATTTTTTTTGTATTGAATTCTTTCGGATACATCCACATTAGAATTTAACATTTGAACTATAAGATTAATGGAATGGACAAGTATAGTTAAAAAAATTGAACCAAACATTTTATTAAAAAATTAAATCATTTAAAATAATCCTCATGAAATGGACATGTATAATTAATTATAATTACCTCAATAAAGAAAAATAAATCGAAATGCCATATGCAAGTCAAAACTTGCATGAATTTGTTACCTGATCTATAGGATACATCCTCATAAAAAATGAAATCAGATTGACATTACATCCACGTAAAAACATGTCAAATATATTTTTCAAATATATAGGATACATCCACCTAAAAAAATAAACCAGAAATATTTTGCTTAAAAAATATGCACAAAATATTTTTCTCTTCTATAGGACACATCCATTTAAAAAGATTGGGAAATATTTTGCTATTGTACATCACACATCCAATTATATTATTGATGAAATCTGTAATTTTATTAACTTCTTATAAAATATAGTCGTGTTTAATTAATTCAAATTGCCTAACTGAAGGAATAGAAATCAGATTGTGATATGCAATTGAAAAACTTGCACGATTTTGTTACCTAATATATATGATACAATCACGAAAAATTAAAATAAATACAATTTAAAAGTGCTTACATATCATATAAGTGTTAATCATCAAATCTACAAAAAAATATATTTTATTCTCCAACACACGCCAAATCATTGGTAAAATGTTATCTATAAAAAGAGTCAATATCTCAACATTTAATGTACTTCTTCCACATTTTTTCATCCGATATTTTATTCATCAGTCCCCCTACAGGTATAACATATGTTGACAATTTTGTTTTACAAACTGACGTGGCATCAAAATTTCATTTAAAACTCCTGTGGGCCGTGTCATTAAAGTCCAGAACAGAAGAATTCACATTACACACCTCACTCCCCAAAAATTCAAATTCAATCGTTAATTCCTAAAGCCCTAAATTGGATCGGTAATATTGATGGGCAAAATCTTCTCCGTCGCGCTCGCCGCACTAGCAGCCATCTGCGGCGGATGGAGCCTCGGCCGCTCCAACCATGGCCTGGCCTACCGGGAAGCCAGAAGTGACCGTGAGTTGATTGGTAATCTGGAGCAGCCGGAGGCGAAGAACATCGGCGACTCGTGGTGGAGCTCGCTCTGAGGGTCTGGTGCCGGCGGGGAGGCGCGCGGCGCCTGGACAAGGATTCTACCCATCTCTCTCAGAAATGTAAAGGTTGAGAGTCTCATCAATAATGGCCAAAAGGGCCTGGTCTTGGGCGCCCACCAGCTCGAGAACGATCTCGACTATCTTAAAGGCGCTGGCATCGAGCTCTTGTCCGAGGCTGATTTTCCGAAAGACGGCCAGGCTCGGGCCTTCGATTTCTTGTTGGTCCCAATTTTTGGCAAATGTCCCTTGCGGACGGGCTTGTCCGGGACAATGGGTTAGTCGTGTCGTCCCTGGGGCTAGAAACACTGGCGGGCTGCGCCTGTTGAGCAACTACAGGATCGGGTATGAAGAGGAGCGGGCCCGTGAAGAGCCCAATGTGCAAGGCGGTCGGAGGAGACGAGGGAAGCGCTCAAGGGGCAGGATGACATATTCCAGGAGCCGGTGGAGGAGTCGTTGAGTACTTAAGGCAGGCATTTGTGTCGGACGATTTGGGGCAGTGGAGTGGTTCGACGGGAACTACCCGACACATGGTCAAGAATTTGTGGTGTACAATATGGAGGAGATGGAAGTGAGGATGGAGGATTATGTTGTTTCTTGAGTGCAAAACCAATGGGAAAAATGTGGCTAATGTTGATATGTGACTGAGGTTGATATGGGATACCTATAATGTAGATGAGGATGATATGTTTTGGGATATCTGATTGTATACTCGTGGGATGTATATTATGTTTCACACTTTGATGAAATATGATCAAATGTATTGATAGTTAATGGTTGGTACTACATGTTGAGATTTAACATATTTTGCTGCTATATGACACTTATTATGGAATAATTGGGTGTGTTTTTTGAGACCTGAATAGTTGTTGATGAGTGAAAAATAAGTTGAGAATGCTCATATCCTGGGGTTAAAGGGAGCAGAAAGGNCCATTTGATATGGTGAATACTGGTTGCAATATTGAATCACATTATTACCTATAAAAAAAACGACATAAGATTGAATAATTAAACATACACATTATGGCATAGAAATTAACATGTTTAAAAACTGATTTAACCTTGACAATCTAACTCCATAGAAAATTGATTTTGCACCTCAAATTCAACTCCAGTCTCCAATGCCAACATCTTACAAAATGAAAAAGAAAAACACAAGACAACTAATACCATCAAGTAACATAAACTTAGTATTTGTTAGATAAAAAGAAAAAAAAAAAGACAAAACAGGAAAAACTAACATAAAGTAGCAGACTTCAGATTGACTTCTTACTTTTGTTTTTATTTCATATATCATTAATGGATAAAAGTTACATCTGTTTCTGAATTATGGTTATCTTAACTTTTTCTAATGAAGTGATTTTAAACAATTAATCAAGAATTAATAAGGAAAGTAGACCTTTGGCTCATTTGTTTGCTTGATTAGCTCTTTTGTAAGTCCCTTTCCTCTATTAATTGAAGGAGCCTGCAAATACATAAAACAATGAAAAGAAAAAGAAGTAATTTTATAGTATTTCATTTAACTATTGTGAATATACATAAAGATACCTCATTCTTCTTCTTTTTCTTATTCGAAGTCGACTCCAACGGACTTCTTTTGCGAACTTTTCTTGGCGCGCCCTTTCTTTTTGTCAACTTCTGATCTCCAACGCCAATGCTACATGGAGTTTTGAAACTAGCAGGATCGTTGCAAATATTTTTTTCACCAATATGTTTTAACATAGAAAGTTCTTGTGCTTGCAATTGGATCCATTCCATAATCATCCCGGCTCAAACTTCATCGTCTGCAGCAAGGTCTGCGACCTTGGCAAAAGCTGTGCACAAATTGTCGTACCTCAATTGTCCCGAAAAATTCCTCAATCCGTCATATTTCAAAGCAATCCTCGTGTATGGTCTCCTGACATCTCTTCTCCATCTATGTAATATATATTGATCAGGAAGTCTAGAGACGTCATTACGGATAAGGACTGCAATTGAATGTCGACAGAGAATACCCCGGAATTCAAACAGATGACAACTACAAACAACTTCACATTTTTCCCTATTGAAAGAGACAAAAAATGATTTCTTCTTGCGCAGGTAGCCACAAAATAAATCTTCTAGGACCTCGTAAATTGTCTCAAAACAACCTTCTGAAGAAGAAATGACATCACAGTAAACCTTACCCACAAACTCGGCTTGGATTTCTTTAAATTTGAAAATAGTGTTCACCGTTTGGAATTGCTTTTCCATCTCATATGTTGTTGCACATGGGACTATTTGGCTGAATGATTTAAAATCAGCTTGGACCTCTTTTTCCACTTTATCTCTCAATGCTCTTTCGTATTGTTGAACGAATTGTTTCAATGATGTTTTTGGGTGGACGTACCCATCAAAAAAAGCATTCATGCTTTCACTTCGTTGTGTAGTTGACATTCCAGCCCAGAAAAAAGTTTTTAGGAAGCATGGAACCCAAAGACTACGGTTCTCGTACAATCCCAACAACCATTCATTGTCGCACAACGCATACTTTGTGGTCATTGACTCCCAGCCTTGTTCAAATTCTTCAACCGTTTGACAGTCATACACCAATTCATGTATTGTTGAGAAAATTGAACCTTTATCGACATGATATCCAAACTTTTCAGGCAGTTTTTTTAGAATGTGCCACAAACACCATCTATGTCTCGTATTGGGGAAAACAATCCGAATGGCATGTTGCATTGCTCTGTCTTGATCAATGATAATTCCTTGAGGATCTTGACCGTGCATACACTGAAGCCATGTCTGAAAAAGCCAAACGAAGGTATCCGTATTTTCATTCGAGATCAACCCGCAACCTAGAAGTGTTGATTGTCCGTGATGATTAACACCAACAAATGGTGCAAAAGGCATGTCATATTTGTTTGTTAAGTAGGTTGTATCAAATGTGACGACGTCCCCGAATTCTTTATATGCTTCTCTACTTCGATTATCTGCCCAAAAAATATTCCGTAATCGGGAATCATCATCCAGATCCATGCAGAAGAAAAATCTAACACACCTTGCTTGCATATCTGAAAAATATGATATTATTGTTGTTGTGTCCCCCTCTCCCAGGCTTAACCGTCTAAATTTTTTGATATAGTTACGACAATCTTTCTCGACAAATGTCATATTATCGTATCCACCCGCTTCAACTACAGCAGAATTGAAGCTTTTATGCAATGGAATTCCGGCCACGTCATTCACTTCAAGTCTTCGCTTTACACTTGCACTCAATTCTCTATGGCATCAATATAATCTCGACTTAGTTGGACTGCATTTGTGATTATGGTCGAGGTAACCTTTGTTAATTCTCCAATAACCATGATCATCTAAAGATGCCGAGATTCGAGCTTTGCAGTTTGTCTGAGTTGTTGGTTGCGACCTCAATGAGCCTCTTGTGCCACTCATTCTTTTTCCTTCACGACTACATGTGAAAGTAACATATCGTAAAATGCCATCATCATCCTTTTATCGAATTTCTTTTTCTCACTGCAAAACCGACACTGTAAGCATATTTTTTGTAGAAATCAAAGACGTTATCTATATCTTTGAATTCCATACCAGCCTCCGAGGCACCTATATTCGTACTACAATATGTATTAACATTTTCAATCTCTAGCAACGGTTCATTCTCACCTCCTTTCATTACGATAGTTGAAGATGTCGTCTCCTGGTCTCGATTAGGGATGATGGGGACTGATGGGTTAATTTCGAGCAACGGTTCATTCTCACCTCCTTCCATTACGATAGCTGAAGATGTCGTCTCGTGGTCTCGATTAGGTCTCGTGGTCTCGATTAGGGATGATGGGGACGGACGGGTTAAATTTGAAGATGGTTGCTCCCACGATGTCTTCTGGCTTTTTGGTCGAACAGGGATTTTTTGACTGAAGGGTGAGATACGATTTGGTTTCTAGAATTTTGGAGCTAAAGAGTTTTATTTTTATTTTCTTTATTATGTGAAATAAAATAATAGAAAAGAAAATAAAGGTGTGTGTCCCACTTAGAAAGCCACATCAGTTTGTAAATGAAAGTTGTAAGAAAAGGTTGTACGTCCAGCTTTTCTCTTGAACGCAAATTTGATATCAAATACAAGAACATATTGGAAATTGTTTTCATGACTGATAAATAATTTTATTTTTTAATATATTAATTGATAAATAATTTTATTTTTTTAATTAATATTAAAAAATAATTTTATTATTGTTATAAAAATAAATATTATTTATTTTTTTATACATACAATATGGATGTTAAATCGAAGCTCATCAAAAGATGATTAATTTGATATATTATATATGTAAAAATGATAAAAAAAAATACATATATTAACTTTTAAAATTTTACGATTCAATGGTTATAATAACAAATGATAATAAAATACAATTAATACATGTAACATGACCATAAATAATCAACATATTTATGGATAATCTGAATCTAATTATTTTTGGATTTGAAGTAAAATCTACTCAAGCCTAATAATGAACCATGTAATTTAATTTTGCCACATAGGAATCCGAAGCATGCCTGTCACTTGCTCAACATGTTTTGAATTAATATGGAATTTGATTCGGAAAAAAAAAAAAGGGCAACAAGTTTTATTAGGGTGGTTTATTTATTTAAAAAAAATAAGTGGAAAAAAATAAAAAAAAAAGAGTGGAAAAAAATAAAAAGGACGTATTTCAAGAATCCGTTTTTCTAATAACATTTTATTAAAAAAACGGATTCCAATTATACGTTTTATATTTAATTTTGAATAATTTTAAAAATATTTATTTTCTTGTAAAAAGTGTCGAATTGAAAACAAATTAATAATCATAAACAGTATTTAACGAATCCGTTTTTCAAAACCCTAAATTGATTGATTTTTAGGGTTTCAAAAAATGGATTTGTTTAATACGTTTTTAATTAATAAAATTTAAATTTAAAAAAAATATTTTAAAACATATAAAAAAAAAACTCGATCCAATCGCCACCCCGACGTGAATCGACAACAACAACACGAACCTCATTTCCGGTTAAGTCATTCGCACGAGGTATATTGGCTTATTCAACTTTTGGCATTGTTTGGAGTTGTTTGAAAATTGGTAATTGTTATAGTATATTTGAATGTGGTGGTGTTTGAAGATTGTGAATTGTTAATTGTTTATCGATTATGTGTGTATGTTGAATTGGAGATTAGTTTTTGTTCTAAATTGTCAATTGTGTATCGCTTGGTTGTTGTTGGGCTTAGGATTTTTTGAAAATAGGGTTAGAATTAGAATTAGGGCTTCCAATTTATTCGAAATATAGGTAAATTGTATGTTCTTGTTGGATTATGGGTATTAGGGTTTTTGGAGGATTAATCGATTGGGAATATTTTTGTTGGTTTTTTCGTTAGAGTAAAAAGATGGGTTTAAAGAATAATTGAATTTTTTGGGTGTTGGATTACACATTATGTGTTGTTGTAATTGGGAAGAATTGAAAGTTTTTATTTGCAACAGGTATAAATGGCGTATTGTGGTCCGTATTTTGTTAATTTGTATTGGCGATTTGCGAGGGAACAGTTAAGAGATTTTGTTTCATTTATGGATAGTCCGGATGGTTCATTTGTTATTATGGGGAGGATATCATATGAACAATTGGTACAGATGATTAATGAAAATTGTCGGTTTAGAGAATGTTGGACAATTCAAGCGATTACTTTAATGTTTCGTCAACGCGATGGTTCGTGGACTGCCGGAAGACTCGATAACGATAGTGCTCTTGAGTGGATTTATTTATCTCCTCCTATGTCCATTGTGTATTTGCATTTATCGTTGGAGGCAATTACACCGGTCACACAATTTGAGGATTTTACTCCTTATTACGGGGGAATGGATGAGGGCACGTCGACTTCTCATCTACGTAATTTTGGAGAAGGGACAAGTTCACCAATTAGAGACAGGGCAAATGAGGACGGGGAAGAAAGTGACGAAGAGTTCGCACTCGGTGAAGATGATTTCACAGACGAGACCTCAGAAACCGAATCAGATAGGTCGGTGAATGAGGAGAGTGAAGCCGAGTTCATTGAAAAAGAATTCCTCTTTCCTAGTGGTGATCGGCACGTATACCGTGAGATGGGTGAATGGGAGCCATCCAGGATAGATGAGGACGAGTATGCTATTCCACGCTGGAATGGTGACATTGAGACCATATGTTTGGGTATAGTTTTTCGGAGCAAGCAAGAAGCCCAAATGGCTTTAATGGGTTGGAACGTCGATAGATTGTGGGAGATTCGGGTAAATGATTCAAATCAAAAGTCATACAAAGTGGTATCCAGATTTAGTGAAGATCCGCCTTGTGTGTGGAAGGCTCGGGTGACTAAGTCCAGGCGGGTTCATGAAATGTGGAAACTAACTGAATGGACTGATAGACACACTTGTATGCAACCGGTCGAGAGAAATGACCACAGAAATGTAACCGCCCAAATGATTTCAAATCTCATTCGTAATAAGATTCGAAAGAAAGTGGAGTACGGCGTTGACATGATCCAGGCTGATGTGAAACAGTGCTGGAAAGTGGATGTCAGCTACAAGAAGGCATGGCACGGAAGGAGAAAAGCCATCGAGAGTGTATATGGCACTTGAGAATCGAACTTTGCAGAACTCCCTGAGTAAGCAAAAATTAATTACAAATATATGTGTTGTTTGTCTGTCGCTATTTTTATCTATTTATTATGAAACCGTTTTGTAATGTGTAGGTATTTTGTCGCGCTTCAAAGAACGAATCCCTCCACAGTTGTAGAGTGGGAATGGCAGGGTGGGGAAATGGCGCGACAACTTCGAGACAGACAATTCAAATTTGTATTCTGGAAGTTTGGTCCTGCCATTCAAACTTTTCAAATGTGCCCGCCGGTTATTAGCGTCGATGACACACATTTGCGTGGATCCTACAAGGGAAAATTGCTTGTGACCACGGCACAGACTGCGAATAAGCGCCTATTGCCAGTCGCGTATGCGCTTGTCGATGAAGAAAGCACGGACAGTTGGTCATTTTTCCTTAGGAATCTGCGGCAATATGTAGTCTTCTAGAGACGGATCTGCGTTCTTTCCGACACGGATGCGGGGCTACTCAGTGCCATTGAATCTTTAGCAAATTGGCAAGAACCCGTTGCGTATCACCGGATTTGCCTTCGACACCTTCGAAGCAACTTGGTGACTAAGTTCAGGAGTAAGAAAATTCGAACTTGGTGTTGGGAAATTTGGGTTCGCAGTTGTCGGAGCGAAAGTTTCGAGGGATAGAACAGCGACTGTTGGCATTGAGTTCCGAAGCAGAGATCCCGACGAACCGGTTCAAGACCCCAAGACTTGGGCCATTCATGGCCAGTATTTGAAGGTCTATGCATTAGAAGACGAGTGCAACAGAGAGCTAACCGATGTGGAGCATATCCCCACCTACGAGGCGAGGGCGAAGGCCCTTATACTCTGGTGCATCGGTTCTTTCTTCTTCCCCGACCAGAGGGGAAATGGAGTGAACCTGTACTGGTTGCAGCT